AGATTAACCTTCAGGGTGGATATAGCTCGCTAGCAGCCTCGCACCGAGGACCTATCCACGTCATCATTTACCCAGAATGCTGTGTGTGTAAATAAAATGGCTCCGTCCGTGTTAAAATACATTTTTAAACTTTTAGTTTAAAAATGATTAAAACTGAACATATTGCAGTATTTTTACAATCTTTATTTTACAGTTAAAGTAAATGTTTATCATATAAATTCTAATGTTACAACTAATCGGGGATCCCTTTAAGGCTTGCCAATCTTTACATAGACTGATGTATTGGTCACAGTGGATTGGCCTGAAAAACTCCACAGTCACAGTTGTTTGACCTTTAGGTTTAGGGTTGCTCAAAGTCAGTATTTTGCATTGTGGCCAAGATTAATTTGTGCCGTGAAATAGACTAAAGCAGGAGCATCCAATCCTGGTCCTCGAAGGCCTCTCCTGCAGGTTTTAGCAGTTTCTCTGCTCCAACACACCTGATGAATGAACGGGTGATCGTCAGGCTTCTGCAGTCCTGGAGGAGATAATTCAGTCATTGAATCAGGTGTGGTGGAACAGGAGAACAAGGACTGTGTCCAAAATCAGGGGCCAGGTCCTACCAAGTCTAGGTGGGCCGGGTTCTTGGTCAACTGCAATGACCAGAAAAAAGTGAGTGAATTTGGACGGTCTAGCCCAGTGTTTCCCAAAGTTGGGGTCGGGACCCAAAGTGGGGTCCCGAAACATCAAGGTGGGGTCCTGAATATATTTTCGGAATTAATTACATTTTTGTCTTAGTTGTTACAAATGAGTGAGGTTATTGTATTTAAAATGGATAAATGTAGTATAAAAATATTGTTACTAAGCCCATGTTTAGTTGACCTGATACAAATGTTTAACATACAAAAATAGCTGGGGGCACAGGTCTCTGCTACTGTTATTTTGTGGGTCAAAWGCTGAAAAGTTTTGGAACCAGTGCACTTTGGTTCCCAAAGCTGGGCTTGGGACCCAATTATGGGTCATGAAGCACCTTGGATAATCTCCAGAAATCAATTTAAAGGGTAATAAAATAATTGCTGATGTAATATTTTCCCTATAACTATTACAAAAACACACCAAAAAGTATAAATAAGCATTTATATTTGTGTACAAGCTGTTTAGATTGTCAAAAAGCCTGTGTTTTTTAGGGTTATTAACAAAGTTTGTGAACTTAGACCAGTAATATTTGGGGTCACAAGTTTTTGCCATGGATATTTTGTGGGTCAGAAGATAAAAGGTTTGGGAACCACTGGTCTAGCCTTCTGCTTTATTCCCACCCTTAACGCGCCATACGTCCTGTCACCCATCAACCATGATGACCCTAAACAGCAACCTCACATCCTCGTTTTCACTTTAACCCACAGTGTTTTTTATCTTCTCCCACCATCCTGCCTGCCCCGCCCCCCTGAATTTATTGATTTACAGATTATCTATAGCAGCCATTGAGAGGAGAACTGTGACATAAATGAAGAGTTTGAGCTTCTACCCTAAGTCCTTTAGCAGCTGCAATATGTTGGTACAAACGTTTGTATCTGTTATTTTTTTTTTAGCTCTGCGGTCATTCTGACATCTGGTGACATTGAGGATATTTTGCTATCGCAACAAAAATACCAATGAAACTAATTTAGAGCTTATTCCTTAAAGTCAACAGAAAAACAGGTGTCAAGGACCAAATTACTAGAGCTGAACGTCGATCTTGAAAACCAG